AAGCATACAAGGAAGAAGTAAAATGTCAGTTCTGAAAAAATTCTTCTGAAAAGTAAAGGAAGGAATATCTCCAAACTCATACTCCAAAGCTAGTGTTATCTTGATACCAAAATCAAAGGCGTTGCAAGAAAAAAAAAAAATGACAAGTCAAAATCTCTCATGAACGTAGGTGTAAATATTGTAAACAAATGTTAATAAATCAAATGCAACAAACTGTAAAGAGGGTAATATATCAAGACCAAGTGAATTTATCCCCAGAACCCTAGGTTAGTTTAACTTTTGAAACTCAGTGTGCTTTATCATATTAACAGGCTAAAAAAAACATATGATCACCTCAATAGATGCAGGAAAAACTTTTGGCAAAAATCTGACACCCATTCTTGATAAAAACTCTCAGAAATTTAGAAAGAGAGCTTTCTCAACCTGATCAATGGAATCTATGATAATGCTACAGGAAAAATCATAATTATAATGTTTTCACTTATCACTTTATTCAACATTGTACAGGAGACTCAAGATACTGAGGGAGGCAAGAAAAACAAAAGGTATCTAAAGAAGAGAAGAAGAAGTGAAAGTATGGTCAAGACAGTAAGCTCACTGATGCCATAAACGCATTACGGAGAGTTTGGCTGAGTAACTCCAAGGTATTGTCTCCACTTACCATTCTGTTGGATCTGGTAGCCTGAGGGGCCTTGCACTGGCATTATCTCCTCATTCAAGGGCACTGCCCTAGACAGCAGCCCACAGAGTCACAAATAACTGTAGCTTCCTGATATGATCCCCTCAAAAGCCCTGTGATAGAGAATCCCCTATTTCCCAAAGCCTTCCCTGCAGAATTTTGTAAAACTCTGTTCTCTTTGCTTTAACTTGCTCAGTGTAATTTGTCAGTCTGCCTTAGTCCTGATCCCCCAAGTACTCTGCTCATAGACCTGATAAAAGTATTAGGATGCCCTAGATCCAATTATTCTCTCCCCCCTTCACCCTGCCTTGAGCACCTCACATGACCTCTTGAAGGACCTTGAATGGTAAACATCTTTATTTCAATTCCCTTGTGGTCCTCTGTTGAACCCCCAAGCTGGAAACATCCAAGTTGTGAATAATGGAACTGTGATAGAGCCACACAATGGAATGCTATCAGCAACAAAAAAGAATTGCTATATACAGTAAGGATGAATCTCAAGGAAATTATCCTCTGTGAAAGAGGTCAGAGAGAGAGTATATGCAGGACTCTCCCTGCATAAGGCAACACACTATGAAGCTCTCCGAAGTCACTGCAGCACGAGTTAGATCCCCAGCCAGGGAGCTGACCCACATGGTGAAGCAGACCTCTCCTGGCCCG